ATTTTTCCTTCAATGCTGTCAGTGAAGGAGCTAAGGCTACTCATTTTCCAATAGAATTCTGTGATTCAATTGACCTCCCTGGATTGCACTGCATAAACTAAAATTAAAGATAGGATCTCCTACCCTTTTAATTAGAACTTAGATGTTTCATGCCTTTGCAGTGCAACTCCAATGATCATGAAAGAACTCTACAAGAATATCATTGTAGCAAATGTGCATTCAAAATGGATTGTCATGATTCCAAGAATTATGCGCACTTATCAGAAAGTGAAGACACCCCTCTTCAGCAGACACAGTTTCCAATATAGTCATGCTTTGCTCTTACTATACACACAGTGCAAGAGTACAAACCATGGTTAATGTGCTGATTTATCTGGAAAAACTTCTATTCCAGCATGGTCAACTGTATGTATGTATGTATGTATGTATGTATGTATGTATGTATGTATGTATGTATGTATGTATTTATTTATTTATTTATTTATTATAAAATTTATATTGCTGCCTATTTACACATGGCGATCCAAGGCAGCTTACAAGGGTATAAAAACATCATATATAAAAAAATAAAACTAATAAAAGAAACCAATAAAATAATAAAATAACATCACACCAGCTATTTAATGGGCTCCATCACACTCTGAGTTCCCCAGGCCCACTGGCAGATCAGGTCTTCAGTATGTTCCTTTAAACAAAGGGAAAAGAAATGAAAATGTTAGAATACTTGTAAAGAAGAGCATATTCTTTACTGACAACAAATGTCATCAAAAATGTCCTATGTTAAACATAAAGTATGTTTATTTTTCTTGCTATACATCATTATTCTTTAATAACATGATATATACTTCTTTAATTCTAAAACCAAAATGATATCAATTCACCCATGACCAGAGGTGGGTTGCTCTCAGTTCAGCCAAACTGGTATTGAAATTCAAGCCTGGGCTGCAGAACCAGCAGTGACCCAGGCCTGCCATGCCCCTGAACCGGTTCCCTGGCCGCTGCTGGGCCTCCACTATTTTGGTTTTTAGTGACTGCGCATGCACAGTTCACTGTAAATTGTTCTGCGTATGCACAAACAACAATTTACATTGAACAGTGCACGTGCGGGTTGCACATGGATTGCAAACCAGTAGTAAAACTGGCAGCAACCCACCTCTGCCCATGACCATTCTCTTTTTCTGTTTAGGTAAAGAAATATCTCTGAAGGGATGACCCAATGGTCCCAGGTTGTTCTAGGGGAATTTAAAACTAAAATGAACTGATTCAGTATGAAAATTAAATGACAGATTGCTGCAAAACCTATTTTGGAAATTTCTAGTGAGATGAAAGTGATTGTCAAAGAGCAGAAATGAAACAGATGCTGTTTATATTAGTAATGGTTATAACTTATCTGTATGGAATAATCAATGTTTAACAGTAAATCTAGTTACAGTAAATCTATATTATTTACTGTTATTTCATGACAATGTGTTAATATTTCACTTATTGGACGGTTTTCCTCAACATGGCAATCCTACAGCTAGCACCAGAATTCCCAGCCAGGTGACCAAAACTGAGTGAGAATTGTAAGATAATAGATGGCTTAGTCCAAGTGTTAGTTTTTCTGGTTCTGACTTGGATGACATACAAAGCAGCTACTACATTTTAAATATTAGATATTTATTTAATATATTTCTGTTTCAGAGAATATTTGCATGTATCTATTTTTGATGTGAAAGAGCAAAATGACAAAAATAGCTCACATTGCAATAGTTTTAGCATTTGTTTTGTGGCTATAATTTGCTGGTAATATGAGTAATGCTGTCTGCATACATGATATTCCTGCATTACTGGACAATCATGATAAATAAGAAACTGTCCTATAATCTTACAGTGTTACAATAATAAAATAACTAAAATTAACTCAGTAAAAATATTCTGATACATAGTTATGTTCTTTAGTTCAGTTACTTTAAATTGACCCTTTCTCCTATTACAGTTCCTCCTTTTTTCTATACAAAATGTATACCAAACTAGAACTAGATAACTACTCATCAAGTAACAAAAATTTACATGGAACTACCTGGCTGATTGGTGTAAATGGCTGCATACACATAGAGGTAGAATGATTTTCTGAAGGACTGATGAAATTTAATCTGCTAAAAAGGGTTCTGACTGAATCACATTATGGCTTATTATAATTCCAAATCCTATATCCTCATGTATTATCCATTCAAAATAAGGGATAAATGTTACAGGGCAATCCAGTTACATGGTGATGGCTGAGGACATTTGGATACGATTAGGGACAAATATATAACAGAACAAAATCTATGAATGTACCAATGAAGAAGGCATAGTGACTATTATGAGTTAATCTGAAGCAAGCTTTTGATTGGTAGAGGTATTTTTATCTAATTTACACAGCTGCCCATTCATCAAAAGTCATTCTGGGTAGCATACAACAAGCTGAAACAATAAAAACGTAAAATCATTTGTCAGTTCATTATAAAACATTTAAAAATTGCAAAAACAAAAACAAAAACCAAACAAAAAATAATAGAGGGTGCTAATAAATAAAAAAAGAGAGAGGCACTTCACAAGTTCATCCATCTCCTGCCAGGTTTGCTGGCATCCTAACTTATTCTGTACTTGAGCTCTACTTTTTTCTCTCTGATATCTCATTTAAAATCTTCCTCTTTGTAAAAGAAAGCTGTGATAGCTTTTAGAGAAGAATCTGATATCCTGCAAAGCTACCATTAAGAATCAACATTAAGGTCCTTTATATTTAAATTAGAGATAATATTGGATGCAGCATGGGAAACTAGTCCTGGGTGTGGCTCTTGAAAAAAGCTGCAATTTCCCCAGCTATTGTCACTCTGTTGTCCCTGATTGTTACCAGCTCAAATTCCAGTGATTTACTGAGACACAGGGTATAATTTCCATCAAGTGTGAGGAGTTATAGCTCCACCAAACATCCCCTTAGAGGGGCTGCTGATTGGCTGTCAGCTGGGCATTGTTACATTCAGTTGTGAGCAATCTGCATTGATTTTTTCCTGCAAATGTGAGATGGGTGAGGAAGCATAAAGGACAAACACGTTGAAATTATCTTTACTACCCCATTGATAAAGAAAATCAAAGAGGAGACCCTCCAAGCACTTTAAACTATGCAATTACCTTCCTTTTTATAGTTTTTCTCTCCTTTTTTTCTTTCTTCTACAGATCACATGGCAATCACATTTTCTGAAATACCTGAAAGCAGGAAAGAGACATGGGCTAATAATTACCATTATATATTTTCTCATGCTTACTTTAAGGAATTCACAAAGGCATTTTAACATTAAAGCAATGTGAGGTGTCAAGACTATAACCTTCGCTAAAACCATTCTCTAAGAGAATTTGACAGCTGACTCAGATTAGAATTCAGGACTAGTACCTGGAATAGGTACTAAATGACTGATAAACAAACATATACTAGATGCATCTTATTTGGGAAAAACTGGGAGTTCCTTCTTAACACAAATCAGACTGACACATCATGAGCAATATATTGCTGCTAAGTAATTTATTATTGTATTTGTTAATGTTTTACAGCGTTTGTTTTAATTTTGTATAGTACCTTGAATCACATATAAAAGGCAATATAGTGATATAAGAGGTTCCAAGGCCAACTAATACTTGTCATGAATTTTTTCTATTTCTAAATTTTGGCATGAGAATGTGAAACATGCCGTGTTGTTGCCATAACAGGCATCACAGAATCCATTGTCTCGTGTCAGCTAAAAGTAGTTGTAATTAAATCTGCAGTGCTTCCTCAGTTACTGAAACATGGAATGGAGCAAACAAATTGTTCCACTGAAAGTGCACATGCACAAGATTGTTACCACTAACTTGCCCCACTGGCTTCCGTAGAAATTGTAGAGCAATTTTATTAGTGTTTGTACAAATCTTGTCTGTGGCATGAACAAAGGACTTCAAATTTTTAATGCAGATGGGCTATTTTCCAGGTTTATACTGCTGTTTTGGAAGCTACTCTCAGCTGTCTGTAAGCATACACATATTTTCCAGACAGCTGCACAAGAAAGGAAGGAGATGCATCTGCTTCTACAATTCACAGAGTTGCTTCATTTCTGCACTCATGATTTGTAAAGCACATATTTTCAAAGGATTTGCATGAGCACATTTTACTTCAAGGAAATCCCACTTTGTTTAATAACATCATGGGCTAATAACCTTACACCTGACTTATTCTTAGCCATTCTTAATTCTCAATAAGTTCACTTCTGTACATTCACTTAATAGACACTTTTCAGATGTTATATAAAAGTTGCATTATACATAAGCTCCCCATGAAAGAGCAGCCAGAGGTTTATAGGCATTATGACATACATTTATTAACTCACTTACTCGGACAGGATTTCTGATCATAACATTGATTGGCTGCTTTAAAATAGTATCACAAATTAGACTATTCAGGTGTACCGGAGCGTACAAGCATCATTTATATATTGGCTTCCTTATCTGTTTCAATAGAAATCCATATGAATTTTCAAGATTGGATTTGGTGTCTGGATATTAAAACTATTCTTAACCTGGAATTCTTCTGATTCATCATCACCCAAGGGATCTCATAATGGAAATGAAAATATTCAGTAGTAAAATGGAACAGGTTTAAATATTCTAACACTGTTGTGATTCACTTAACAACTGTGGCAAGAAAAGTCATAAAATGGGGCAAAATTCATTTAAATGTCTTGTTTAACAACAGAAATGTTGGACTCAACTGTGATTGTAAGTCAAGGACTGCATTTATTATAAGCTTTCAAAAGTAAAAAGAACAATTCTGAGAGCGCAAAAATGGCAGGAAGAAGTTACGCTAATTCTATCAGAACCCATAACATTCATCTTTTCATAGCCCTCTCCCAAAATGAGCAGTGAACAGGTTACTGAGCATAGAATAACTACATGTCATTTCAGTTATAGATATTGTATATACAAAACAATTTCTAATTTCTTCTCAGGACAGAGTCTGTAGCTGAGAAGATGCTGACTAACTGGTTTGCTTTCTTACTCCACAAATTCCTAAAGGTAAGGAACTTTACCCTTGATTCCATTTTCTTTTTTCCATATTTTTTGTGTTTTGTTGATCATATTTAATATTTAAAGGGGATGATACAAATCTAATCCAGAGGCTGGAAATAATATGTAAAAAAAATACATAGTTCATTTCTAAAGCTGCCTTTTAGTTGGCTTACAATTAATACTAATTAATACATTGTGTATACTACTAACAGTGTATTTGACTTGCTGTTCCTCAAGCGCTTGCTCACAGAACTGTACAATAAGATAGGCTTAGTTACATAAGACTACTTAAATAAATGAGTAGTAGAATAAATGATAAGATTTTTAAAAAATCCATCCTTCCTTTCTCTTCCTCTTTTTTTGCTAAATGCTACCAAAATTAGCATATTATTTTTAAACCATATTGTATTTGGACCAACAAAAAAGCAAATTGTGGCTTGATAAATAAACTAAAGTATAACAATGTTGACATTTAGCTTTTCTTGAACAAATTATTTCTTTATTGATGTGTAAATTATCTTTTCTTCCTTACCAACCAGGAATGTGCTGGAGAACCACTCTTCATGTTGTACTGTGCCATCAAGCAACAGATGGAGAAAGGCCCAATTGATGCTATTACAGGGGAAGCACGTTATTCCCTCAGTGAGGACAAGCTGATCAGGCAGCAGATCGAGTACAAAACACTAGTGAGTGGGTGTCTTCTCTAAACAGCTTATGATAGCATCACCTGTTGATCATCATGTGAAATATAGCAAGGGTTGATTTCCTGATATGTATTAAGCCAAAAATCTACATGATGCCTCCAATATTCTCTGATAGTGGAGCTTTCTCATGAGGAAATATACATGGCAATTTAAAACATCAAAACAGAGAGACTTCCTTAGAACAAGTGAGAAGGGAATGTTTTACTGAGGATATCCATAAATAAAACCAAGCCTTTACACTATAAGGCCGCTTAATTTCAATAGTGAAACCCAACATTTCTAATTGTCAAGGCATTTTCATAATTCTATTTGCTGTTTCTATGTATAACTGAAAAGATGAAATTAACTTCCCAAAGTATTGTGTATTACACTTCATATAATTTTATCCTTATTTGGGAAAATACACAGGCAACCCAATGGCAGTCTATTTCTATGCATATATTTTGCAAATTCAATGAAGTTTATTCATTCTATTTCCACATCATCTTTTTTAATGTGATATAAGCAATTATTTTCCCAATTTAAGTAACACTAATGTAACACTCTAGATTTTCTTGTTGGAGCTATGTACAGTAAAATATTTCCAGCTTATTTCTAATCATTACTATGATTAAATGGTGATGGTTTCTCCCTAACTTTTCCAAGTTTAGTTTCCCATTCTAATTATTTTGCTTTTATAGATCTTGAACTGTGTGAATCCTGATAATGAAAATAGTCCTGAGATTCCCGTGAAGGTGCTTAACTGTGATACTATCACACAAGTCAAGGAGAAAATTCTTGATGCAGTATATAAAAATGTTCCATATTCCCAAAGGCCTCGAGCTGTTGACATGGACTTGGGTAGGAATCTCTTTGTTTTGTGATAGCAGAGAGAAATATATGAGTTTGTGTTCTGTATGTGAAGGGGTCATAATATTTAAGGAACTCATAGAAAATCATAAGAAATCGCCTGCATATAGAACTATGAATTTGGTTACAGTATTATTGTATTTATTTATATTTTATATATAGGAAAAGTAGTCTATATATGACAAGAAGTGTAGCTGACCTTATTGGGGTAAGATTGCTGGTCCAATGTAGATATACATACTGTTTACTGTGAAGATGGTCTTCGTTTTTTCTTCCTTCACTATTCACAAAATATATCAATTTTGGACTGATTCAGATTTAAGCTACATAAGAGGATAATTGCATAGGGTACAGCCAATCCTCATATTATTCTAAATTAAACATATAAGGTCTTAGTGTGGATTGGAAGCAATTGGAAAGGGCTAATCCCCAGCTTTGTCATCTGATCCATCTCATTTTATATATATATACAAAAATAAGCCTAGATAAAGAAGGATTTTTACTTGGGGAAAAAAGAATAAATTGTAACGTTTATTTATTTTGTATTTGAAAAGTTCAGAGGTTCCCTCTCATGCCCATAATACATGATTTTGAATGTGTGTTTAATGTACAGTATACGTAACAAGAGTAGAGTTAGCTGTAAGCAATGTAATTAATGTATATACATTTGACTACTCTGATGCTGCCTAATTCTCTAAGATCTGTCAGAAGGTTTTTAGTATAGATGGGAGAATACAACAGATTGTCTGCAATGCGCTCTGAAATATTGGGGTCAGTCTCCTCAATCCCATCTGTTGAAACCAGCAAACATCAACTGAATTTGTGAAGGAGTTAACAGCTGTTGAATGTCATTCCTTATTTATTTTATTTTATTTCTTTATGAAAGATAAGCATTTTGAGATTCCCATTCCCACAATAAGATTTCTAGGCATCTGATTTGATTTGCGAGTCTGTTGTTACTCTTTCTTTAGAATGGCGCCAAGGCCGAATAGCACGTGTGGTACTTCAGGATGAAGACATCACAACCAAGATTGAGGGTGACTGGAAGCGGTTAAACACATTGATTCATTATCAGGTAGGCAGATAAAACCTAGCATGCAGACCACGGAAATCAGTTGAGTGGACCAAGGGGGAAGGGGAATACCTGAAACCTAATTTCTCAGCATCTTTTCTAATAAGACAGCCAGTGAGAGGCATATTTAGATGATAAATCTGAATGGTTCAGCATGTTCACATATTAAAAAGGGAAACTGTACTGATGCACATCTCACCGAAACAAGCAGACCTGTAAATTGAGTAAATTAAAAATGCCAGCTGTGTTCCTAAGACAGACAGTATATGCAGATGAGCTAAAAAGGCAATGAGCGTGTAACACAATACTGATGTTTTATACCATATTTGCAGTCCATTTCTCTGATTTCAATACTAGTATCCTGTCAGTGGACCTTCAGAGACCCTGGCTTTCAGCTCAGAGAACTTCTTGCATGGGCATGTGGAAGAATTTGTTCCGTACATATTGTACACAGTTGTTCAGATTTTTTTTTTCTCAGAACTGGACACCAGCCTAGTTGCAGATATGATAGAGAGGCCTGGAAGGAATCTTGCCCATTAATGTAGGACTGGATTGAGCTTGCTGGCCTAAGGAAGTGGCTAAAGTCCTTAGGATGTGATATCAGCCACCTGCTGAGGGTTCAGTACTCTTCTATTCAGCATCTATATGAGTCCATTATTGCAATGGCCTGATCAGTATATTTATCAGGTCACCAGTATGCCTTTTAAAAAAATATTTCCATGTCCATGGCAAAATTAAGCAATACTGTTGTACCCAGTCCCTGGAGGCTATGAGGTTCTAGATGGGAAATCTCAGGTTTTAGCAGAACCCTGGCAAGACTGAGTGGCTTTGAGTTTGGAGGTATTAATTGTAGGACTATGGTATCTTTGGTACTGGGGAGAGCTACACTGCCCCAAATGGACTCCATGTGCAATCTGGGAGTCCTCCTATATTCACAACCCACCATGGCTGCTGCAGTAATGTCTATAAGGGCCCTTGAACAGCTTTGGGTAGTGTACCAGTTGGGCTTGTGGCTAAATCAGGGGCTCTCATGGCATGGGGTTGGATTATCTGAGGAACCTCTCCTTAATTAGATCTGCCTGTTCTATCATATCTGGCAGAGAAGTTATAATGCAGGTCTCATTTGCTAGGAAACTACTCTGACAAGCCTTCCTTGCCATAGTGACAGTATTATGGACTATTCTTTTCCCTGAGGTGGGTAGTTCCATAAGAAAAAGCAACAGTCAAAATAAACATCTCAGGCTATCAAGCATGTGCATGTGCAAATGATTTTCTGCAAAGCCACCTAGAAAGCTGCTTTTAGGAAGGGGTGCTAGTTTTATATGACACTATCTCCATATTGTGAAAATTTGTGACTTTCACCTTTCATTTTGTATGTAGTCCCATATGCAATATAGTGTACACATTTTTACTTTCTGATTAAACAAGCAATAACTATGGCCTCAAAAGGTGTTAGTGATGATATGTTGCCAATTCTCAATATCAATATCAGCCAGTCCTATCTGTTTGCTGAGGTCTGGAGTACTTCTGTAGTCAACATGATGGACAATATTCCAAAGAGTAGATATGCCCCCCCCCTACAAATCCTAATTATGTTATTTTTATGAGTAAACCTTTTATTCATATTCATTTAGTCTCCTATTTATTAACTCTTTTAAGGATAAAAATGAGCGGGAGATTGATTGTTGCTCAACCACATTAAGAACTCAATATAAGGAGGATATGTGATTTTTGTCAAGTCTGGTTGTATAGGAGATCATACCCAGAAAATTATGAGTTCTGCTTGAATCTAAATACTATGCATCTGTTGATTCTTCTGGACATTTTACAGTGTCCTCAAAGTGGAACAATTTACTTACAATTCGGTCCTTAATGAAATATTAGTTAATCTCATAACTATGCATAGGCTCTAGGTCAAGTTATGTATGTTTTCAATTTAGCTCTTATTCAACAAAGATATCCATCTACTATAAGAAAAAACACTCACATGGATGAAAGAAAATACATCTCAATTGCCAGATAAATTAATTGAATTTGAACATCTGAAATGTTATTTGGCCACTTTTAACCTACAGCACAACCCCTCTTGACCTTTACATGATCCAACATTAAAGAATGCTAATAAAATTATCAAATAATAAAATTGTCTTCTTGACTCTCCTTCTGAAATTGTTTGCTTTTGATTCCAAACACAATGATTGTAGGTACAGAGTAAGAAAGATGACCTTGATACAGGTACACTGGATCTGTTGACTGGACAAAAGGGGTCTAAACATTATTTTTAAGCCCCTAGCATTTGTATATAGTTTGGAAATACTGTATCTCAAGCAGATGCTTCCCTGATTCTCTCATCATAAGATGGCAAAATCAGGTTTTCAAGGTTCTGAAATATATTTTGTTGTTATAGCCAGTCTTATTAAAGTAGTTTCAGCCTCCCTCTGGTGTTGATATCCTAGTCTAGTCTACTTAATGGGCCTGGAAGTTAAGCATGAATACATTTTTTAGAAACTGAGATAGAGACTTCTATATGTAGACTTCCTCTGATTTGGACCCTTGCAAAGATTCTGAATATAGTCTTTCTTTCTGTTGACATCTATGCTCAATACATGGACATGGGGAAAGAAGGCACAATTCTCTTCTATAAAGAACCATGTCTGCATCTACGTAGGACAAAAGTATAATTTTAGAAAAATCTAAAGCCATTGTAAAATTAAATTTGTCCCAATTACAATATTCCTATTCATTCCCCAAGCTATTTTATTCTACTTGTCATAGTGCTCTGGACTTCTAAAATCCCTATTCATCTCTTGCCATTCACCTACGTACTATGTGGCATAAAAGTTGCATTTTCAAGGTCAGCAAGTAAGTTGTCACCCCTCTTTAAATAGAAACACATATTATCCATGTCTACACAGAAGTTAAGTAATAGTCATACTGATTTTAAATAAATAATATGAAAAGAGCATGGCATTCAATTATACATTTTTTAAATCAACATTGCCAAATCTGTTTCATTGAATAGAGTGAATTGTTCTTATGCATTGTCAACTTACTATAAATACAAGGAAGCAAATCACTCTATTGTTATAAAAAAGCACTTATGAAAATCCAGTGCAATCTTTAACCATCTTTGCTAACAGTATATTGAACCAAGTTAAATAAGATTTAACCTCCACTTAAGATTTAAGCATCTTTCCTATTTCTTTCTTAGCTATTTTTGTGCAAGGATATGTGAGGGCCCAGAAATTCTTGATGTCACATCAAGTTTATTTATACTCAGTCAACAAATAATTGAGTCAGATTCTTATTCGACTCCTAGTCACCTTTGTAATCCTAGAAATTCATTGTTTGATAAATGCATCTCCCCAAGGATTCACTGTTTTTACACGTGCAAATAACATTGTGCAGGCAAGAATAGTATAACAGAAGAATGCAATGAATTTACAATTACAGGTACTGGTTAGGCAAAGAATACATAGAACTCAGAAAGTAGATTTAACCCTCGCTGTAATAAGGTGAGCTCATCACTAACTGGAATATTTGAAGTTTTAGGAAAGAACTAGATGTTGGAAACAGCTGGCCATGCTACAACAAACTGAAAACCACCTAATTAAGATCTGCACTAAAAACAGGAAGTTGTAATGTAATATTGAGTCCTAGGAAGTCTTGAGTTTGTTTATTTTAATGTTTCTTCTTAGGTAAATTAGTAAAATTAGTTTTAAAAAGAGTAAAGAACACTAACATTTAATAGAATATGCCTTGCTGAAGGAAAATTCACAAAATGTAACACTTGTCTGACCAATGTTTCAAAGTTTTCTGAGAATGTCACCTGGCACATTGATAGCAGTAGCCCGTTGATGTTTTATACTAGAGCTTTCAAAGAGTCTTTGACATGTTCCTCTTCCAAAGCTATGAATAAAGTAAACTGATGTCATGGGATAAAAGGACCTGCCTGTAAAAGGACCTTTTACAAAGAGTGTAATAAATGAGCAATTTTTTTTATATGAGAATCTTCTTTCATTCTACTTGCAATGTAGAACTGCACTAAGAAATACTATCACTAGCCCAAAGTCAGCCAATGATTTTCTGTGGTGAGGATAATTAAACACCTTAAATATTATACCATACTGGAGCTCTAGTGGGTAATTCAATGGAAATGTCAGCCTTGTGGGTGATGATTTTGAAAAGATAGCCTCTGTGCTGAGGGACATTAGGAAATTATTGAAAATAAAACTGCCAACATTGTAATGCATTTATGTCACTCTCAGCTCTATAATACTATCTTCGATTCTAGTTAATAGAGTTTTAAAAAGTGCAGAAAATGCAACTAAAATGATGGAAAACCTTTTCCTTAAGGGGAAAGCTTGAAGGAAAGGGATTGCGGGGAAATGACTTCAGGGGAACAGGGTTAAGAGGTATAAAACATGCTATGGAGAGAGTGGGCAGAGTGACATTTTCTCCCACTCAAATCAGTAGAACCAGAGGTCATCCAATAATACTGATTGATAGGAGATTAAGAACAGATAAAATAAAATCTCTCTTCATGCACTGCATAATTAATTCTGGAATTTATGATACGTGATGATGGCCACTAAACTCAGATGGCTGTACGGTAGGATTGGATAAATTTGTAGATTTCAGCTTCCTAAAATCTTTAAAAAATCAAGGTTACCTCTAGACCAGGGACATCATGCCTCCAAATTTCACACAATGGCAGAAGATAGATATGCCCCCATCTGCCCTTTGAGAGCATACCAGAAGACTATAGTTGGCTGCGGTGAGAAGCAAAATGCTGGACTAAGGCATGCTAACTTCTCTTTAGTACTAGTTGCCTAGAGCATGTATTGCAGAGTTGCTAGTATTTTCCTGTGCTCCTGGTTTGCCCTTTACATTAATCAGACAGTTGCCCCAGCTGACAGTAATAGCTGTTTCCATTTCATGAGAATGAAAAAGAAATAATTTGCTACTAAATGTGCACAATCTATTCTTAACATATCATTTATCAGCTCAACTCAAAGTTGTTTAAGCTGCAGGGAGCACCTAGCTTTTCTTGAATAGAAATTTTATCAAAGTGACACTTTAACACATACTAGTTGCAAGTTATTAGTGATTTTTAAAAAAATGAGTTAGACTTCTGAGTAGAAATAATAAATAGTGATGTTTGTTATATAACCCTGAGCCAATATTATCTTTTTTACTGTAATTAACAGTCACCCTGGAATTTCAGTATGGCGATTATTTGGAACCAAGGTTTTTTTTTTCTTACAAAGGCCAAGTATACAGTTTAAGACAGAACTGTGATTAAAAGTGTGTTATATTCATTTTTGTTCCATTGCTAGTTGTAGCTCATTCTAAAAATACTATGATAACCAATAATGACCAAAATAGATTCACACTTTGTGGGGCTTTTGGATCTTTACTAGTGGGAGTTCATGAACCAATAGAAATATATTATATGCATGCTTAAACCAGAAAAGTCCATGCAACCCCACCAAGCTACACAAAATATACAACTAGCAGATTTCTTCTTTTGCCCTGTGACAGACCATTAGACAAACCAGTTCAGGTAACTGACTCCACCAGAAAATTAGAACTATATTTTATTTATATAGTCTATAACAACACTATAAGTGGAATGGCAATAATTTTACAAATCTCTTTTCTTGTGAGGAGCCTGCTTAGGTTTTTTATTTATTTGTTTAACACATTAAAATGAACATGTGCATATATTTCAACATACAGTTTCTCTAAGTATTTTGTATATTATTTTATAACACATCTATTCTCATATATAACTTTAGGGAATGTAAATTAGAACAGCTCATTCCAACATGCAAATCTATTTGAAATTTCTCCCAAATTTAATTCTAGAAGGAAATCTTGAAAAATCCCAATATTGGTGTCAAACAATTAATTTCTTTTGGATTATTCCAACTTTAAATCAACCATAATCACAACCATAAAAACAAGGAGGTTTAGAAGTCGCTTTTTTGTTTGTTACCAATAGCTAATAGCTACCGGTATTAGTCCTTATAGCAAAGGAATCCCCAGGAAATCTCCAAAACCTCACAGATTGATCTTTGTTGGGAACTAATATGTTACCTAGAGAGAGCAAAGTTATAAAAAGCTTTTGAAAGACCAAGGACAAGCAATCCAATGCCATTTGGGTGTTTTGGCCTCCAATTCTACCTCCTGAAGGTTAATTTTGATAGATGGTGAAGTTATAAACTAAATAAGTACAAAAACCAGCTATCATATCCATACAAATTGCATGAAGATTCAAATCCTAAAAACCAATTTTCATCTCTAGTAGATATTTGTATCACATTCAAATACATGTCATAAATATTTCTCATTAAAAATAACATCTTTTTTTCATAAAAACTACTGTTCTTGTGTAAAAGGGAGATTTCTCATCCCTGTGTTATTGACTTCAAGAAATGAACATACAGATTTATTTCTATGTGTAAAGTTACTAGAGCAGATTGATAAATTGTGCTTTGTTAATAACTTTGTTGCCTAATGAATAGCTTGAATAAATAAGCACCCAATTTCAGCCAAACTTTTCCATTTTATTTTCTGCAACATATTTACACTGAGAGATTATTAATATATAATTAAGGTAAATAAAGGTTTGCTAATGAAGAATTAGTTAAAAGCTTTCTGAGTCTTATAGGTATAAATATTGCCATTTTGCTTTAACAAAATCTTATTATAAATATTAATATGCATTTATAATTCAATTTTTCCAGATTTATCTCTAACCACCCTTTTGGGGGGGTAGTTGTAGGAGTGGTCATTTAAGATAATGAAAGATGATTTTATTACTTGTTCCTTTATAAATCAAACTTTTAAAGTTCATAAAAACTAAAAAATGATTTAATAGGATTTTTTTATGATCCATAACATTATTATAGCTACTTTATTCCCAGTCTGTTATTGCTTTAATTGGGTTGCTACAATGCTTGGGAATCTCTGTTTTTATTGGATCAAACATAATCTTAAATCAAAATGACAGAGAATGCCTTCAATATGTCTTTTCATATCTCAGTTCTTTTCTTCAGGGACAGAACAGGCCAGGAGGGAAATATACCCTTCATTTTCCTTAGTCTTCTGACACTTCATGGCATCCCATATGTTCCTGCCAACACTTCATTATGAGATTTATAACTTTCATCATTTTCAGCTCACAGTAGAGTATGAATATGTTTTAGTACTGCATTTCCTTGCAATATTCCGTCTGCTTACAGGCCTTTTTTCCCCTCTATCAGGTCTCTGATCGCTCTGTAGTTGCCCTTGTTCCTAAACAGACTTCTTCTTATAATATTCCTGCTTCTGCCAGCATATCACGGACCTCAATTAGCAGATATGGTAAGATTGAAAGTTGCATGATGTAAACATAAAGGTTCTAATTACATGACTCTCAAATTAATGGCCTAATCTGATCATTGCACACAGTGTCAAGTGGCTAGTAGGTTTATTACAGTTTTTATTGGAAACTTTTGAAGCATATCTTTATAAATATACAGGGAACCATTTTTTAAAACACTGAACTTAGTCTGAAACATTATGTTAACAACAGTGCATACATGGAACTCTTCACAAATACTAGTTGCTTGTACCTCTTATCTGAATTATAAACTTGGCTGTATTAATAATGGAAATACCCCCACTGACACCACCTGTGCATGTATCAGAATCACTGATCTGAAGCAATTTCTCCTGAAATTGTCATTATCAGACAGTCAACGTATTAAGTACATAGAGATATTATTTTTTCCTTATTCAAAAATAAGTGGGGAGGACTATTTCACAGCTCAAGTAGTCAGTCAGTTCCTCCTGATATATAGCCTGAATCTTCTTATAGTTCCAACCATTTGGTTCTGATCCTGCCCTCTGTTACATTTCTTTCTATGTGTGAACTCTTAAAATGTTTAAAATTGCTATTGCATTTCGCCTCAGTTATATCTTCTGTAGATTAAATATTTTCCTTTAGAAAGCCTTCATAGGTTTTCCAAACTCTCCAAATCCTGCTATTCTCCTCTTAAATTGTTCCGATTTATTACTGTTTACTGATTACTTCAGAAATATGGTGTTCAAAACTGGACACAGTATTCCAAATACTGTTTACTGTTACTGTTTACTGATTACTTCAGAAATATGGTGTTCAAAACTGGACACAGTATTCCAAATGTGATAGGACAAAGGCAGGTATGAGTGGAATAATTACAGATAGTCCTTGACCTACAACAATAGTGACCATTTTAAGTTACTGTGGCATTGAAAATAGTGACTTATGACCATTTTTCACACTTACAACTGTTGCAGCATCCCATGGTCATATGATCAAAATTCAGATGTTTGGCCAATGGTTCATATTTATCACAGTTGCAGTATTCTGGGGTGATGTGATCACCTTTGTGACCTTCTGACAAGCAAAGTCAATGGGGACTTTCCAGATCCGCTCAACAATCTTATTACTAACTTAACAACTGCAGTAATTCACCTAACAATTCTGGAAAGGTTGTAAAATGGGGCAAAACTCACTTATCAAATGTCTTGCTTAACAACAGAAATTTTGGACTCTGTTATGGTCAGAAGTTGAGGACTACCTGTAATTCCAATATCTGCATTTCTTATTGATGCTTTCTCAAACAACGTTTGACTTTTTAGTACCTAACTCAGACTAATGACTCATATTTGACATGCTCAGCAAGGACATCAGTTGTTGTTTTTCACATGTATGGAAGCCATGCCAGTCATCTGCTTTTGTATTTGTGCCCTGCTTTTTCCTCTCCAAAATGCAGAACTGTATATTTCTTCCTGTTAAATTCCATTTTATTCTTTTTAGTCCCCGGTTCTAGTCAATTTAGATCTTTTTGAATCTTTTTTTTTCTTTTCTTACAGGGAAATATAATTATTGGGGAAAAAATGAAATTGTATTTAGTATGGAATTTGAGAATTTATATTTGGTCATTTTGTCCATTTGTATCTTTATATTTTTAGAAAAAACAATTTTTGTTTTGTTTTTCTGGCTGGAAAAATTATGGCACCATATGGCTGGCAATTTTTGCAAGTACAAAAAAATGCTCTGTAAAGCATTTCTTCAAAAGGCATCAAAGACAAAATTTTCTAAATTAGATGCCTATAATGTAAAACTAAGCAGGCAAAGATTTTTCTTTTGAGGATACACATTATTTGTAAAGCAAAATTTATATTTGACTGTTCAAAGTTAAAGGTTAAAGAGTATTAGCATGCAACCTGTGTCTACCTAATTGTTATGAATATTGATATTGGCCAGGCACTTCTGGTTACACAAATGACATCAAGCAAAGGTGTGCATTTACTGTCTACATTTTCATCACTTTTTGGCACAGAGTTTCATTTTGAAATAGAATGATTCAGTGCTTTCATCTTTTAATTACAGCCATAGGAATATTCATATTTTGAATCGGAGTTGAAGCATTGGAGAAAAAAAGTAATAATTCACTCATTCTCATATTAATGTAAGGGGAGCCCCTTAATTTGACTGTCACCAAGTATAAAAATAGAAGAAACTAGATTAAGTTGGTCATCATGAAAAAAGCATTTGCTTGAAAATGGACAAAAAAGATATCGAACAGATGTAATGTGCATTTGACAGACAGGATTTTTTTTCACATAGCAAGGTATTTCTGATAATATGCCTTGAAAATTGAGTCATCTACTACATATTTTCAGTATAGAAGCCAAGATGATCAGCAAACTTTTTGTTTTCTGTGGAGAGTAAGCCTTGTTCAATGAATCAAGAATGACTGCAATCAGCAGATTAAATACATAACATTGAAAAATATTTCAACCAAAATGTTCTAAATATAGAATTGGCTTTTGAAAACATTGGAATTTTATAGTCATTTATTTCCTTATAAACTGAAGTTGTATTCACTGTTAGAGAGCTACATCAAACCCCAAAATATATCTATGTCTGTTTTCTTTTGTCCCTTCCTAACCTCTTTTTTCATTCTCCCCAGATTCCACATTTCGGTACACAGGTAGCCCAGATAGTCTTCGTTCAAGGGCACCCATGATTACGCCTGACCTAGAGAGTGGAGTGAAAGTCTGGCATTTAGTCAAAAACCATGACCATGGTGACCAGAAGGAAGGAGATCGGGGAAGTAAGATGGTATCAGAGATCTATTTGACACGGCTGCTAGCTACAAAGGTAATTCCAAATCTTAGATCCTGTATCTCCTTTTGGTAAACGTTAGCCATATATTGTCATGCTGATTTTGTCTTATTGTATATTAATAATAAAAACAATGTTTAAGCAAAGCAATTATAATGATGTAATGCTTATATACATATAAGAATTATTATATATAGCAATTATTATTATAATTATAAAACAATTATAAACCCATCCAAGTGAATGTTTGGTAAAATCTAAATAATGCAGACAAAGGGTTTTGTTGTTTTCCCTAAACTGTCTTCATTCCTAACATGATACTATCTTATTTTACATAGGCAATAATTCTCTCCCCCACAAAAAAAAAATCACATACTGTAACATGTTAATTTGCTACATCTCACATCCAGGGATATAAATTAATGGGGGGCAACTTTGCACCAGCTGATGACTTATGACATAATACCCATACTTTGGTCTCTACTTCCATCAGGGTACACTGCAAAAGTTTGTGGATGACCTGTTCGAGACTTTGTTCAGTACTGTGCATCGAGGCAGCGCTCTCCCACTGGCTATCAAATATATGTTTGATTTCCTAGATGAGCAAGCAGATAAGCATGGCATCCATGACACTGATGTGAGGCATACCTGGAAGAGCAATTGGTAAGAGGGACACAGTTTTGCTTACTTATGGTTTCTGTACTTTTGTACAGCAGCATCATATCATATCTATATAAATAAGGGTAAATGTATGAAATCTAAAAGACACACCATAATGTGTGTTTGTGTGTGTATCATCATCATCATCATCATCATCATCATCATCATCATCATCATCATCATTTTAACCCTAGTTTATCCAGTGCAAAAAGAAGGCCTCTACCAACCAATATAGTCCTGAGCTTTCTTTTGTCAACTGAGTCCACCATACTTGCTGATGTCATCAATTCATCTTGCTTTAGGTCTCTTTCAGGGACACTTTTTATCAAATGGGATCCATTCTTGACTGCCTTGGTCCACCTGCCATCAGTTCTTCTTGCTATGTGACCAGGCCATTTCTATTTAATTTTGGAGATTCTTGGTCATCCAGGTCATGGTTGTCCCAAAGATGCTTTTTCAAGAGACAACAGGACTTTCTGGTTTTTGTTTGAAGAAGTTTTGCTTCTCATTCAAGAAGCTTCTTCAGCTCTGACTGAATGGTGAGAAATGGAAGGATTTATACTCCTAGAAGACAGCTGGTCATTTGCATTCTTTTAGAGAGTCGTTGAGACACTACTCAGGTGACCCTGATGACACAGATAAGCCTCCAGGTGACCTCAATGACTCTCTAAAATAATGTAAATAATCAGCTGTTTGCAAGGAGTATAAATTCTTCCATTTCACACCATCCAGTCAGAGCTGAAGTAACTTCTTGGATGAAAAGCAAAACATCTTCAAAGAAAAACCAGAAAGTCCAGTTGCCTCTTGAAAAAGCACCTTTTTGGACTTCTATTTCAATTCTTTTACTCTCTTGATAATATCATACACTTTTGTTTGTTCTCTACAAGACAAGATATATTATAAAAATATAAGTGCTTTAAAAATAAGTGAAAAAATACAACAGAAAAATTAAGCTATAGAGTACAAACTGGTATTAGAACTGTAACTGGTTACAGTTCTATACATAATTACCAAATACAAACCTTAATCAAGTATGTGGGTGTTTCTAATACATTTATATAGATAACATGTTTTTAACTAATTGTACTTTGCATAAATTATTCCCATATTCCCTTACATTTATCCATACCAAGTCTATATTTATAGGTAATCCATTCATATATACTAAGTGTAATTAGATCTTCAGTCCATATATTTACTTTTCCAATGTTACAATAACAGATAAAATAAGAGCATGGAGAATATATTTATGTTATTCAGTTGCCACATTCCATATACTAGATATTTAATTCAAGAGAATATTACGTTCATAGAATTATAGCTTAGACATTTTTGTGTTGCAACATAGTTGGAAGTTTTTCAGACAAATATTATCACAGATCTTCAAAGGCTCTCTCATGCAAAAATAAAAATAAGTTTCTTTATTGAGAAATCTTTATTCCATGTTTTATGTTCAATTACTTTTAAAAAGAGAAAGATTTTTATTGTATCCAGTTCTGTTTCCAGCCAGGCAGTTTCTGACACTTTTATTGTTCTTTTTTTCTTTGTTATTTTCTAGATAGTCAGTATACAGTTTAGCACCATCTGCTTTCTCCAGACAATAACACAAATTGTATCTAGACAGTATTGTGCCAACTTTGAGTATAGCAAGTTTATTTTACATGCATGATCAATTTTAAAAAATAGCGTGAAAAACATCTACTGCATTTTATGTTACATTACATCTCATAATCCATGCTACTAAATATATATAAAATATCACTTGGATATTGGGTATATATTTCATTTTTGCCATTCAATATAATACTCGTATGACCACAACCCAGCATCCTAATGTCAAAATCTGATTCACTTCTACTGGTCTAAGGTGATGATGGCTTGCCTCATTTGATACTACAGTGGCAATTTTAGTCAGCAAGTAGTCTGGAAAGAGGATAATAATTCAATTATTAATGGCTTTTAAATACAAAGCAGACAGTCTCAGAGTCACAGTTCTGAAATTCTCTATATATTCCATAGGACACCCATATTGGTCCTCTAAGCAAATGACCCTAACTAAGTGACCTTCATGACTCCTTTGTTCTTGACAGTGATAAATCTAAGGCTTCGGAGAATGTACAAGATTTGTAATAAGGAAGTATAGAATAATTTGACTCAAAGTCTCTTGCTGCATAACCATTTATTTTCAAACTGAGACTTGTGACTGATTTATCCCAGTTTCTCATTAATTATTCTGTACATATTAATTATTCCATTAAGTGAAAGTGTTATCACATCTAGACGTGATTGAATAATGTACTTTCAGAGTCATAAATGTAATCTTTATTACTTAAACAATGGAATAGGTCAGAAGAGGAAAAAACTGTTTTTTCATTAACCTGATTAGTGAAAAGAGGCATTAGACAGGATAGGAATAACTGTAAAAAAAAAAAAAACCTGCAGCATTTATGTGATTTACCCATGTATTGTAAGTAGAATTCCACTAAATTTCTATGAATTTCATAAGCTATCCTTTTTACAAGCCTTCTGAGGTGCAAGGGGAAGAGACCAGATTAATAAATTGCTCCTGATTATCTCAGGGCTTTCATTGTTTGCATCAAAGACAACCAGTTTTCAGTCAGATGAATCAAAAAGCTCTCCTTGGTGTGATCTTTGTGTTTCCAAATCCTCAAAGCCTTAAAAGTAATTGAGATAGTATATCTTCTTTTGTGTAATGCTTTGTTTCTAGCATTTGAGCAAAGTAGAATTTACAAGGTGCCATCCGAAATGCAATAACTAAAGAAGCAGAACCCAGACAGAGAGTTGTGGCTACTTGTATCAGCTTTCAATTAAATAGCTCTGTCTCTGTCTCTGTCTCTGTCTCTGTCTCTGTCTCTGTCTCTGTCTCTGTCTCTGTCTCTGTCTCTGTCTCTGTCTCTCTCTGTCTCTCTCTCTCTCTCTCTGTCTCTCT